AAGAGGTGGAAATACAGAAAAATTATTGAAACTTGCAGATTTATTTAATGTTTCAGCAACTCACGTAAAAAATAAATTCATGATGGTTTCGGTTATTTTAGATCTATTGTTTAATCCTTTTTTTGTGTGAATCATATACCAAAAAATCATCTGCATACACGCAATATATTTTATACTAGAACTTATATTATATAAAATACGTTTTTCACTTAATTGTTTTACAGTTATGGTACAAAGTCTGGATTTTTCCGTAAAATTACAAAACCTTCCATGATCGGTGTTAAAGGAATATATTCTTCGGTCGCGAGTTCTGCCCTTTCACCGTATGCCAATAAAACGGGGGTTGTGTGTGTTTGAAAACCGGTAATAGTTTTAGGTTTTCCTGCTTGACCTACGACGTCTACAGCAAGACCAACTCTTACTGGTACAGCCAGAGGATTCAGTTTCTCGTCGAACGTTACCAACATCCTTGGCTGCATTGCAACAGCTAACGTGTACAGCAGATAATGTGAACGGCCCAAGATGACTAAAAACAAAAATTCCATTGATTTAATATATTGCAAATAATTATACTACTCTACAGGTGCTCAAAAACTTACTGTTTTTCACATCAAGGAAACCAATAAGTGTAGCTAAAAGTCCAGCAAGTGCTACAGGGCTTAATACTTGTCTGTCACTGTGATATGGTGACAATGTTAACGTTCCTTTACCAAGATGTGTCAAACCTTGAGCGATACGAACCATGAACAAATTATTTGGATCCTTAGCGTGGAACTGAGCAAGCTGTCTCAACATGGCGGCCAATCGAGCGTTGTTTGTTCCAGCTCCAACCAAACCCATGGCGAAAATCGCATTGTGCGCCACTTCTGGGTCGCTGTCGTGAGAAAACTTGGATAATGTGTCTAGAATATTTAATTTTGGATTGGAAACTGATATTAAACCAAGTGCAAGAGGAACTGATCGTCTGATAACAGGCTCGCAATAACGCAATAAATGACCAAACGTTCTGTATGCCATTTCAGCTCCAATTTCTTCTCCCATCGCAATCAGAGCAATACCAAGCACAGCGATTGCCTGTCTCGAGCTGAGATCTTTTGCTTTGTCCTCTTTTTTCTCCTCTTTTTTGTCTTTTTCTTTACGATCACTCTTGTCTTCCTTCTCGTTGGATGGCTCATAGTGTTCAGAGCAAATGTGTAATAAATGCTGAATTTTGAGAACGTTTCCGGTACCAGCGTACGCGCATACTTCTACCAGGGTGGTGGACATCGATTTAAAAGGTTCAGGTACTATTTCCAGGGCTGCTATTACGGCTTCCGCCGCTTCTTGTTTGCCTAAGAAACACAGTCCAAGGCCTAGAGGTAGAAATCGTGCATAGGTGTCTTTAAGGTCCGTCTCAGACTTCTCCATGAGTGCGTGCATTATCGTTGTTGTAACGTAAGCATTGCAAGAACCTACTGCGACCATTCCCAGCGCGAGCCCGGCCATGCCTATTACTTCCCAGCTGGATTTTGGATCGCTAAGTACAGGGATTAGCAAACCGTAGACAGCTTCCCGATTCGAACCCGCGTATGCCAATCCAAGACCAACAATGGCACCTATACGCATAGTGTTGCTGCTGTGTAACACATAATCCGACAGAAGAGCTAATGCAGGGTCGCACTCGATCCTCACACGACAATTAACAAGACCACAGGCTAATAGGGCACCTGATTTAATATAGTCTTCAGAGGAATAAAGATACTTGTCTATTGGAGTCAAACCACCATCGACATCCCACAATAATACAAGACCGAGAGACGCTGTTGCGCTCAGCATTCCGTGTTCTTTGTTCTTGTACAACCATTTATTTCCATCCTCGATTAAAAGCTTGTCTTGACCGAAAGCTGCGTTCACAAAACCATTGACGAAACTTGCAGCGAGGTTCTGCCTTGCTGAATCCACTTGACCACCGCCAAACGGAGATCTGGAATTTTCTAAATGAGATTTGTATACATCTTCAGGTGTTTTCGCCTCCATTATATCCAGCTCGCGCGCGAGATTGAGGAAGTGATAATTTAATAAGGAATTGGACATTATTTCTACCAGGTCATCATATTCTGGGGTGGATTCAGGAAGTTCCAAGAAAATTTGCTGTCTACCTAGCATAAATGCTAGTTGCTTTTGCACTGAACTGAAAAAAGAAATATATACTAATTAAAAATTTGTTTAAGTGTAATTTGTTTGAATAGCAATTTAGCTTACAGGTCTGTGCAGTTTGTGAAAATATCTTCAATAAGAGGCAAGTCATTGAGCTGCATTGCTAACCTCACAGCTTGAGGATACTGACCAAACTTTATGTACAATTTGGAAGCAGCATGAAGAAGAGCACTATTTTCTGGATCTGCCACATAGGGTACACAACTTGTTAAATACAAGCAGACTCTTTGATATGCACTTTCATCTACATACTGCTGCAGCAGGTCTAGTCTTTCAATTTCCATTAATAAGTCACAAGCTTCGGTTTCTGCATTATGAGCCATGTTATATGGTACAATTTCATGTACCAAAGCAATCAGCTTTATGCTAATAGCTTCTGTGTCATCTGTAAGCTCATCCCATTCACCAGCCAATTCTCCTGATAAATGTCTAACATATTCGTGGCCCCATTCTCCGATGGCTAATGCAGAACCAGTAAGTCTGTACTTTAAACATTCTCTGCCCTCACCCATAGTCATAGCAAGGACAGAAATCACATCAGAACATAGTTCTTTGGATTTCACATCTGATATTTTATCATAAATAGTCTTCATAGTGTCATAATGAGGTCTCATGAATTTGAGAGGTTTTGGAACACTAGTCATTGATGTGGTAGATGCACGAATATGATTACGTAAAGATTCCAAAGCTGGATAATGCAAATTGGTATTAGGATCTTGTAAACGTTCAACAAGATGAGTTAGCTCCTCTTGTAAAAGTTTATCTTCCTCAGACTAAAAATTGTTAAATTAAATGAATACTGAGATAAAAAAAATTTTTATATTTTTCATTGTTAAAATTCATATTTTGAAAAAATCTATCAACAAGAACCGAACTTACCAGTTCATTTTTCTCCTCCTCTTTTCCGCTTCTGACTTCTTTATTCGTTTTTGACTCTACCTTTACGCTTTCCGGCATTTTTTCTCAATTATTGCATAAAATGAGCACAAAACAGAAAATTTCCCTTTGATAACTACTTGCTGCTTAGGTTAGAATAAATGTAGAGGCTATTTGCTAGTCACCGCTATTTATCGCGAACTATAAATGTATTAGAGGTGTAATGTAAGTTTCTATATCTTCGTTGGGAGATATCGAGCTCCTTCACCAGGTGGACGCTTAACTTGCATTGCCGCCAAAAACATGTAAAGCACTCTACAGTCTGTTATATATATATTCGATGATATGTTTCATGTAACGCTTCGCTTCGCAACTACTTACAACCAAAGTGATCTGCTTATGAGAAAGAGAGGGTTAGGTTCTCCCATGATGCTATAAAATTACTCAAATTTTTAATGTATAAACTTATAGAAATATAATTGTGTTAGTAAAAATCACGTTGTAATAACTACGACTGATTAACACGATATATTTGATTTATCAAAAATGAGTCGCAGAAGGGTTCACGAAGAGGAGGATGGATACGGTAAATGCCTGCTTCTTTTATATTATTATTAATTCAAAATTTAGAAATGCAAATACAGAAACAATATATTTTTATAGTCAAAAAATATGCTCTTTTTACATTAATTTTTAGAACGGGCGTATAAAAAACGTAGGAGAGTATCAGAAAATCAAGAAATTGAAGACAGGCTTGAATCTCTTATTCTAAGAGTAGGAGAAAAATCGACATCCTCTTTGGAAAGTAACTTGGAGGGTTTAGCTTCTGTTTTAGAAGCTGATCTTGGGTTGTTCCGTAGCAAAATACTTAGGATTTTGACTGAGTGTGCTATTCGAATGCCAGAGAAATGTACAATTTATACTACACTTGTTGGCCTGTTGAATGCAAAGAATTTTAATTTCGGTGGTGAATTTGTTGACTATATGGTGAAGAACTTTAAAGATGCACTGAAAGCTTGTAAATGGGATGTGGCTAGATATTCATTAAGATTTCTAGCAGATCTAGTAAACTGTCATGTTTTATCTTGTGGATCATTAATGCAACTATTTGATAATATGTTAGATACTGCTAATGAAGATGGTGTACCTCAAGTAAGACGTGACTGGTATGTAGAAAACAATTGCATCGTATGTATTTTTTAAGAGAGTGCAAAGAGATGCATTCGTTTATTATCATTCGTTGCAGGTATGTCTATGCCGTATTATCAACATTACCATGGGTTGGAAGAGAATTATATGAAAAGAAGGAACAAGAATTGGATCATTTAATGGTGACAATAGAGATATTTTTAAATAAGAGAAGTAAAAAACACCAGCCAGCATTAAGAGTTTGGTCAAGTGATACACCACATCCTCAGGAAGAATATTTAGATTGTTTATGGGCTCAAGTGAGGAAACTTAGACAAGACAATTGGGCAGAAAAACATATTCCTAGACCATATCTTGCTTTTGACTCGATATTATGTGAAGCATTACAGCATAATTTGCCCACTATAATGCCACCGCCCCATCACGAATCCTATTCGTATCCGTTACCGACGGTAGTTTTCCGCATGTTTGATTATACAGATTGTCCAGCTGAAGGACCATTATTACCTGGAAGTCATGCTATAGAACGTTTTCTTATAGAGGAACACTTAAGGCAAATTATCAATAACTTTTTCTACGAAAGAAAAGATTGGTATGTATATTCTTCACACATTATTTTTAAAGCAATTTAACTATTTTACATAACATTCACAATTAAAATACATTACAGTGCAGCTCAGTTATTGAATTTTCCATACAAAGCAAAAATACCTTTAGATTATTGTATTGTGGAAGTAATATTTGGAGAACTATTTAGATTACCTGCACCAAGGAATTTAGAAATATGTTATGGATCAATTTTAATCGAGCTCTGTAAATTGCAACCATCGACAATGCCACAGGTGAAATTACAATGCTGTATTATAATAATGTATATAAATAAAAATATTTATTAACACGTTAACTTTGCGTTCGTTGCAGGTTTTGGCTCAAGCGACAGAAATTTTATTCCGCCGTATAGACAGTATGGCTGCTACTGCTTTCGATCGTTTTGTATGGTGGTTCGCGTATCATTTAAGCAACTTCCAGTTTCGTTGGTCTTGGGAAGATTGGGATTCTTGTTTGCATGAAAATTACATATCTATTCATAATTTTTTTTTAGATTATCGTATTACCAAAGAATACGGGATATGATGCCAGAATCATACGCTGAACTAATTCCAGCACCCCCAGAACCTATTTACAAATATACCTCTGAAGGAGCCAGTATGTATAAAACATTTTTAATGCCATTAACAAAAAATATAAAAACAATTTGTTACAGGTACACTTCCGGGTACAGCGGCTGCTCACGAATTAGTAGTCTCAATTAGACGGAAATGTACACCAGAAGAAGTCCTGGATGTGCTAAACACGTTGCCAGGTCCTAGAGAAAATGAGGAAACGAATAATTTTAATCCTCTGAAAATTGATGTTTTTGTACAAACATTACTGAATTTAGGTTCTAAAAGTTTTAGTCACAGTTTCGCGGCGATAGGAAAATTTCATTACGTTTTTCAAGTAAGGTTTTAAATGGAAGTTACCCTTAATCTAATAGAGTTAATTGCAATGTAACATGTCTTTTATATCTGTAGGTTCTCGCTGAAACGGAAGAGGCACAAATATGCATTTTAAGAAATATGTATGCATTATGGAAGAATCACTATCAAATGATAGTGGTTTTAACGGATAAATTCTTAAAGACTGGAATTATTGAATGTAGTGCCATTGCTAATTGGATATTCTCCAAAGAAATGGCATCAGAATTTACTAAGTATAATATTTTGAACAAGACTGTTTTATGGTAGCAATATTTTATATATTTATGTTATCGATATTCGTTATATTTTCCAGATTATATATTTGGGAAATACTTCATCTGACAATTCGAAAGAAGAACAAACACGTAACTAAGTTAAGCACAGAGTTAGCAGAAGCAAGAGAGAAGTTAAGAAGAGCGGAGAGTAGATCAGGATCATCGTCGGAAGATGAGGATAATAACAAAGATAGAAATAGGGAAAAGCCATCGGAAGACGTTGTGGAAAGAATGGAAGAAAAGCTGGAAACAGCCCAAGCAGACCAGAAAAATTTGTTTCTTATCATTTTCCAGGTACCAAGACAACAATATTATTTACATTATTATAAAAATAATTGAAAACATAAAATAAGCTATACGAATGTTATTTTTCAGCGTTTTATAATGATTCTGTCAGAACATCTAGGACGTTGTGACACTGACGGTATAGATTATAATACTCATTGGTACAAATGGACTATAGGTAGATTACAGCAAGTGTTTTTAACTGTAAGTTCTGTTAAATAATAAGAATAAGTATTTTTCCTTGTATACGATTTTAACTTTCTTTATACTGCCTACAGCATCACGAACAAGTTCAAAAGTATTCATCGACGTTAGAGACTTTACTTTTTACGCCAGATCTGGACCCTCATATTCTGGACGTTTTCCATCAATTCGTTTCTCTACGAGCGTGAACATCATTTTTCACGGTAATCGTTTTCTTATGTAAAACGTACTTCAAATTAACAAAAAAAAAAAAATCAGAGATCTGATTTCTATTTTTTAAAACGGTTCTCATGATCATTGTTGAAGAGATTGTTATGACTTTTTATAATGTTACTTTTATAATGAGTTATAAAAATAAAAACAGAGGGAATTTTGCATTACAATTGTATTCTAAGGTGTAATCGTAAAGATTATTTGATTTCCGGGACAGTATATCGTGTAACATGTGACATAACATTATGTGTAAATGTTTAAACAACTTTGTATTACGATTTATTACACATTCATGTAAATATCGATATATTTATCCACCTTTAAGCATATTTCTTTTCAACAAATGTCGCAATATGCGTCATATGTAACAGTATGTAATGTAAATAAAAATTTGATGAACAAAACTATATTGATAATATTTATTGATTATTTAATTAGCATACATAGGTACGTTATTCAAGGTTATGTTGTTGATAATAGTACAGTAAAATAACTCATTGCAGTTTGAATAATCTAAAAATATAATCGACCATAAAATTACACATTCTGCAATTATTTGACATATATCGCGATAAAAAATTTTTTACCGCGAGAAACGTCTCCATCGTCATGGGTGCTAGTTTATAAGCTGTTATTTTACTAGGTTTCGAACTTCTTGCCAGCAAAAATTTATATAAACTGTGACACTTCTTAGGAAGTGTGTACCACATTACCTCACATCTAAATAAATATACAGCATCGATTAACGTTTGAAATGCAGCAATTAAAAAACATATGAAAAATTCTTACGCCGTGGCGTACACCTGTTCACTATGATTCACCAGTCTTTGTCCAGGAAGGCAAATCAAAAATATATGAACTGCTTGTGCGAACGTAAATGATCCGAATCTTATCATATCGCCTATATTACCTAGTTTCATTACAGTCTATACATAGAAAAGCTTTTATTTTCTACAGACAGGAATATACTTTCATTTAAATTTTATCAATACTTACTTCCACTCCTGTAATGCTAAGACAGATGATATTACAGAACAGTTGACTAAGTATGGACTTAGTGAATAATGATTCAAGAACACTTGAGTATCTATAACAAAATTAATCTTTATTCCTAGAAAAAAATTTAACATTATTTTACGTTAAGAATACCGACTCTATGGCATTTTGGTGTTCCTTTATACAGTTCAACAATTTCCTACAAACTTTCTTTTGCTCCCCTGGCAATAATTCTATATTTTTATATTTTTCAAGAATATAACTATCCTTCACATTTATTAAATTACCCGTATCCAAAATGTGTACCGTTTTCAATTGAGAACTAAGAAAACAAGAGGATACATGCAATAAAATATCGTGAAGTTTGCATATAATGAAAACATAGTCCTTACCATACAATTGCAAACAAAGCATAAGCATGTTGAGAGTACAACATGTAGGTAGTATCGCAAGTAGCAATTAAATTGGCAACTACAGCAGTTCCCATGTACGAATGAATGGATATATAATAAAAATATTGTTGGCTGTCCACGCCATAGTCGAGTTCGAATAAAAAGTTTCGCTCTTGCGAATAATTTGAGGATATAACGTCATCAATTATTAATGACATGGGCGGTAATAGTAAGTAGATTAAAAGTGTCATATAAACGTATGCTAAAACAAAAGTTCGGAAGATTTTTACTCTCGGAGACTTACATATGAAACAAAAAAAAGCCACCTTTTATAGTAACATAGCCTAAAAAATTTCAAATCCTATGCACTTACAAGTGTAATAAAGTGTAATTTTTTTTCCCTGTCTCTCGTAATATTTTAAAATCATGTTTTCTGGTTGATTCATATAATAGTTACAATTGTATTTGATAAACAAAAGCACATCTTTGATCTAGAAATAGGAAATAAATAATTAAGAAAAAAAAAGCAAGAAGAGAAAATTCACGTTCTGGAATTTCTGTGCAAATACGTTTTCGAAAGTCTCTTCATGCTTTCATCGTTGCGTATCAGTTTTAATTGCAACAAAAGAGAAACAAGTTGCTTTCATCTCGTGAAAATTATTCTCCGACTAATGATCGAAATGGAATTGAGTTTGAGAGATCGTAACCAACTTTGAATATTCATGGAGCGAACGAGACACGGAGGAAATATGTACCTTGTTCATGTTAAAAATCCCATTGAGGTACATCGTGAGGCTGAGGAAAATTGATATGATTGGTGGCATACACTCGATGACCACATCGTAGTCGACTCCCCATATTCTGTACAATCCTCTGAGCTATAAAATTAAAGAAATAAACAGAGTTTTCATTAACTTAAATAATTAAAAGAATTTTGTCCCATGCCAAATTATCGAACTTTTCGACCCGACTGTGAATATGTTAAAAATTACAACAGATACTATTTTTCATTAATGGTGGCCCTACTAATTTCATTTTAACGTAATCTTATTATAATTGCACCGTTTCTTTTTTCAAATAATAAAAATAAATGATAACACTTAAAACGTTCTTTATTTGAAGCTATTTTATTTTTTACTTCAACTTATTTTTAAAAAAGTTTAAAAAAATACAGTGTTAAAATACTTATTCGCGTTAATGTATCTCAAACATAAAATATTTCTCGAATGAAATCAGCAATTCGAACGTCATGTTCTTAGCTACGTTATGCATCGAGGAGATCCTCTGTAAGGGACCGGCTTACTTTAAAATGAAAATCGTTCCAACATGGGGAACGTTGCTTTCAACGGTTCGTTTAATATCAATCGATCATTTCGCTCATTAAATAAAACGTTCTTCGCCGAATGAATAAGAAAGAAAGAAGCGATAATCTCCTCTAATTATCTATCATTTCCTAGACATAGGCAAAGTTAGAGGAATAGGAGCTCGTAAGAACATTAAAACCACGGTTTCGTGCTTGATAAATGTAAAATGATGGAATGGTTTTATGGCTGCTGACTCGTTAATGATTTAATGAATGAATCTTTTGTCGATTCTCTTCATGTACAGCTTATCGATTCGTCTTCACTTTTTAGTTGTCGTTAGAGCGTACAAAGAAATTACGTACTCATAGTTAGCATGGACTTCTTCGAGCAACCTGCTTACTTATTGAACAAGCGTCTTCTGACAATCGTCGGGATATGGCCGTTCCAGAGCACCTCATCTAGATTGTTGAGACAAACCGTGATGCTGTTCTTTTGCTTCACCCTTTTGATAGCAGAGGTAATGAAAAAGTATCACATTTTATAATAATTTGTCATATGTTTTTGGATGGAAATATGATACTGTAAAAAAAAAAAAAACAGTATAAAATTTGCTGTTCGTGGTAGGAGGTTATGATCGATTGTGTTGCCAATTGATCGATGAGTTAAGAGATTCGACGTAATCCATGCCAGATCATCGCAGATCCGACCACATGATTGTTTGCGAATTTTTTTGTTGAAATGAATAATTTGCTCTTTATTAAATGATCCTTAATTTCAATGCTACCACCTTAAAAGCTACCAACTTGCAAATATTCAATACATTAGGGAATTACCTGGAAAATCTGTCAGTATACCTGTAAACGCATCGTAGTCTGCTACTTAATATATTTAGGCGTGTGGCCCTTTCAGAACAATCGAATCGTAATACAGGCGCTACTATATTATACTTACCGCTTCTTCTTAGAAAGTAGTCTTATAAGTCTTGGGATGACGAAGATAAGCCCTCATGTTGTGTAAAATCTCGTATATAACATTGTCATTCGAAATTTGTTTAAATTTTTTTAGCGAATCTATAAATATTTCGAATTTTCAAAATATTTAGAACGTTAGCTCACTTCAGTTTTCTCAATCAGCCTAAATGTTCAGAATTATCACAGAAATATAAAATTTTCGATTGACATCGCTATCATAGCAATAGCATAGTACACTAAAGTAAATTAGTCTTAAATAATGGCAGCGTATCATCCTCGAGTCGAGGGACCGTTTTCATAAATAAAATATTCATGGTTTAATGGTAGTCCCCTTAGTATAATACTAATTACTACTTTGATAATTCTTTAATGCAGTTCACTAGCATTTGTTCATTACAATTAACAAATATCAGCTACGGTAAGAACTAGTGCTCCTCAAAGCGTCGAGCTTAGAACGGTGAAGTACGATATGGCAGTCTGTGTAACCTAGAAAAGGAAGGGAAATTATTAAATACCCTCGACATATAATTAACACGTTGACTGTCCTTATATTGTTAAAAAATGACACTTTTCTAGTGTCATCTCAGCACAAGCTTGAAGTATCCTAATTTTCATGTGATCCCGCACTGTAGAAACCAATAACATCACTCTTTATATCACAATTAGATATACCTTAAGTGACTAGAGTCATTAAATTCGTCTATGTGTGAAATATACATATACAGCTCCATTTAAAAAAACGGTGATAACCTTGAAATGTTTTCACGTACAAAAAGTTAAATTACGCCAAAAAGTAGTAGTACAAATAAATACTTCAATTCTTGAATATTTTTTCGCATCATTAATATTTTTGATAATCTTCAATTGTCACATGTTTTATGTGCCTCATCCTGTATTTTACTTTACAAGTTATTCAGAATTGCTTATTTATTCATAAAGGACTGGTCAATGTGTTAATAGAGATATACGATGATTCATAATGATATATACCGACAGAAACGTTTCCATGTTCAGCGGTATTATCTTTAAAGCAATCAGTTCGCAAGGTTTTAAGGTGTTCATGATTAAGAATCGATACAGAACGTGCGATATCGAGTAGAACGTGTACCATAAGCAGTTTAATCTAAATATGATAAAAATGATCATTTGAAAGTTATTCGTTTCAATTTTAATTGTAAAAAAAACATATTTGCTCTTACACATCATAATACACTCTCTCGCTGAAATCCGTCAGCCTCTGTCCAGGGAGACAGAGCCAGAATAAATGTATGAACAGCCCTATCTCCCAAAGGATCAATCTTATCGACGTTTGAATTTCGTGCAGATTGATCAAAGCCTAGAAGAATCGTAAAATGATGAGCAGTAAAAATTAATAAAAATCATCCCAATTTAATTTTACGACTATAATTACTTGAACCCCGTTGATGCTCAAGCTGATGATATTTAACATGAGTACAATGAACAAACATTCAGAGAATACTGCATGAAGAAGTTTCGTGTACCTGAAGAAAGATATAACAGTGTAACTATAACTGAACAAAATAATCTAAAATAAAAAATAAACATGAATAATTTCAGAGAAATCTTTTTGCCACGCTCACTCTATAGCTCTTTTGTGTTCCTTGATACCAAGAACGAGTCTCTGATAAATTTTCTTCTGTTCTGACAACGTATAACATCGGTTCTTGTACTGTTCAAAATCATCGTCCTTTAGTAAACCTTTCGAATCTAAACAATGCGCCCCTTTTAAGCAATATCTGTGGAAATAGTGTGTAAATTAAATGTCTGGACAATTCAGAATGATAGGGGTAATACACTTGCCCCGTAACTGCGAATAAAGCGCAGCCATGTTGGACCAGAACAATGTACATTGTGTCGTGTACGACAGTTTGAAGCAGAAGAAGTACTGTCGAGGCGTAACAATGAGCTGTAATCAGGTAAAAATATTTTTCACTGTCGATGTGGTACTCCACTGGGTATAGAGTCTGTCTGGGTTCGGTCCGGTTTTTATTCAATTCCTCGAAGATGACCACGGCAATCGAAAGTGTGAAATACATTGTCGCCGATATGCAGACGTAAACTATAGAGAAGTGAAGAAGAAACTTGATAATTTGAAAGTTAATGTTCAAAATGTTTAAATATTAATTTGAAGTTTAATTTGTTAACACAGCTTAAGAATTCCAAGTGTCCTTTTTTTAGAATAAAAAACATCGACCTTGCTGGCAATTATAATTACTAAATGGAAAGAAAAGGAGAACATGACTTTCACCTGAAAATCTCAAGCTATATGAACTGTGTTAATCGCTGGAATTTCGGTCGCGAAAGTTAAAAAGAAAATTCATCGAATATTCGACGTCAGACGTATGTTTTTAATAACACAAAATACCAATTGAACTCAATAAATGGCGTTGTTTTACCCACATATGTACACCAAAGAGTTACGACGTCCCTTTATCGCGACACTGTACAATACATTGTACTCCGGAAGATTTATTAGTCGTTCGTAATCGTGTTTAATGAACTTGAATAGTTTTATGAACTGAAACACGATGAGAATATTCAGCCGGAGTTGCATCACTTTCCTATATTTATCATTTAACCCTTCCGTATCCGCGGAAAAGATATCTCGCGTACTAATTTTTACCTCGACTCTTTGGACGAGATTTCTCGCGTCTTAATGACAAGACACGAGATATCTCGTCCAAGATATCTCTCGTCTAAAAAGTGGAATGTGTGAAAATTAGTTCGTAAAATATCTCGTACATTGATACGAAAGGATTAAGAATATATTTACCCCTTTCTTTCGAAGTAGACTATTATATTGGAATATCATCGGTATGATCACGGTTAACAAGGAGGACATGCAGCCAAACGAAACGTCTTTATCCACACCCCATGTCTCGATCAACTTGAGTGCCTGAAGTATAATGTAAATTACATCTTTGAAGAAGTTCTACGATTGATAATTAAAGTGAGAGAAAGAGAGAAAGAGAGGTAGAGAGAGTGAGAGAGAGAGAGAGAGAGAGAGAGAGTGAAAGAGTGATCGTTTCCTCCATTTAGAAAATTTTTGACAACAATTCCAAGCAGAATTTGTGATTGATATTGCATTAAAGCTCTAACGAAGAAATTATTAATACGAGAACAAAGATATTAGCAGGACGATGGTGCTAAAGCATATCCAACTGCCCGTGCAATTCAGGGAGCTTTGCTCACGATACTCCAACGAAGTGGTCGTACGATGACACTAGTCTTTCTTTCCCTCGCGTGTCTTTCCACTTCATTTTCAACGGTGCTTTGCTTTCAGTGTACTGTAATCAAGTTGCTGGCTACCGTCGATAAGTCGCGAATACGATATCAGTCGCATGATTGAGGCCACAGTTAAACGGCGTAAACGTTTCTACGATAAGAATGAATTAACCATGTGATGAATTATGATCAGACGCATTTTCTTCGATTCACTGTATTAATAGTGAACGCTATATACTATCGTTCTAGTAGAAATCGTTTTAAAAGGAATTACCGGTGAATCGATAGCAATTTACTTGTTCATATGCTTTTAGACGTAAAGTCAAGCATTCTAACGCATTATGCAATTTTTATCAAGCGTATATACTTCTTTTGGATTATATATATGATCTTCGACCTGAAATACTTTGAACGACATAAGCATTTTTCCTGGCTGTCGCGTTTTCTCGTCACTTCCGATGTAAATACATCCTGTCGAAGAAAAAAGGTCCGTGAGTATGTGTTTGAAGAGAGAAATGCAAATTACACGGTTAAACGCACTTACGTATTCACCTCTATCGCAACATTTTAAGAGGCTCTTTTAAGTTCTTGAAATATGTATTTCTCAATTTTTTTTTCGCTTCTTGCTTTGCAGATATTGCAGGAAGAAGTTCTCTCAAATCTTGTCGAAGGTGCAATAAAGGGATATCGTAAACAGAATAAAGAATCGTATTATTTCATCATATATTCAAAATATTGAGAGAATGGATTTTTTCGATCAACCTACGTTTTCGCTAAATAAGTTCCTGGCTGTTTTATTTGGAACCTGGCCCTTCCAGAGCATAACACAAACAGTCGTGAGAAATATATTAGTGAGCATCGGTATTATTAGTATTATAATACCAGAGGTAAATCATTTATGCAGTTAAAAAGCAATGTTTTCTTCAATTTTTACGAATAATTGTATTTATAAGTATTTGTGGTTCATTTCGTTTATGAGTAACGCCATTTTGGAACAATTGTTATAAATAATTGTTCTAAATATTAGAAAGGAGTTGAAAGATCGATCCTCGATCTATCGAAGTATTAATCGTTTTAATATCATAGATCTAATAAGTAATCGACAACATTAAGGTAACAATTGAAATTCGCACCATTCTAAATGATCAAATTGTCAAATTCCAAGCAGATTCCTTTTTGTTTCAAATCATATGCAAACTTTACACGCTTATACGCTTGTATGTATGTAGATGTAGTAGCGATAGATAGCATCGTATATCAACTTCATGTTACACAACGAGTTAATTTTTGTGATCTTATTGTAGTTGTTTATCAATGCTATACAATCAATTTACTTGTTTACATTTTGTAAAATTTTCTACTTCTATTTGAAGTGTAACACAATACAGCGAAGTATATCTATGGTAAATGGCTTCTGAGGGATAGCCCTGTTTCTGTGTTCGAGGACGGGGACAATTTCGAAAACCTCAAGGATCGTTGAAAAATGAAGAAAATCGGTAAGTGAAAAATAAGATATATGTAAAACAATATGATGATAAAATAATGTTTCTCGATACGTTTAAAGTTGCCGCTAAATTAGTTCCTCCGCACGGACGTTAGGTTGTGCTAAGAAACAAGGGACTTTTTTTTCTACATTGGCGCCTATAACGGCTTCCACTCATCGTATACCCTTCGTGGTTGTGATTGTCGCGATGCGTATAGTTTATGCGAGATACACACAAATAATCGGTGCGTCCAGCGATTATCGGTGGAAAAAAATAATATCGGTGTCTCGTTTATCGTGAAGTTTTTATTGATACAATTTTTCCCGTGCAGGGGCGACCTTCTTTCTCGCCGTTATTGGCTGTGAGCCCCGTGTGTGCCGTAATCATGAATAAGAGGATCGTCAGCGCGAAACTATTGGAATATCATGAACATAGTAACAGTGTAATTTAGAAATGGAAAATTAAATTAAGGCATAACAGTGGACAAATGATTTTTATACTTCGTTAGTTATCGTGCAATAGATCGGCTGACTGTTGTTGCGTGTCTTGAACGTGCAGCGAAACCGTTTCCGAACGCAGAGCTCAGCATGGTGATACGGTAAATAGTCCATCGTTTCTGGATGCCTAGGTTAATTAACGTTGTTTGTACATTGCGATTCCTTTACAATCCCGATTGTATTTCGATCAACTTCTCTATTTCTTTTTCTTCCAAATCGATCGAATTCTTGAGGATTTTTCAGCTTGCCGTTCAACGATAAATGTTTACATTATTAGTTTTTCGTTAGATATAGAATGCCATCTAAATAATATTTTTTCGAAGAATAAATTCCCTCGACAGAGTTTACATGTTCCTTCCTGACGTTTTTCCATAGGTTACAATGTTGAACATGATGTAGTACCAATTCAAAATTTGTTTATTATCAATTATTGTGTATCGTGGCGATTATATATATAAGTACATATAACGCTTTGATCATGAAAAAAGATATGGATAAAGTTAATATTGATGGAATAAATGAATTAATACATATATCGTTTTTTCAATGAATATATATTTTATTTGGAGTACAATTGAGCACAATAAATATTTTTATGTTTCACGAAAAGCGTCTTGTTATTTTTTCCAAAATGAACACAAGTGTGTGTGATAGTAATAAATGTGTAATTGAGGATGTTTTAATGTATATATATTTAATAGTTATAAAATTATGGTTGTAATTTATGTTGTTTTTATACAAAATCAAATTAAGAAGATTTAGCATAAGAGCAAGAACATTTAAATGTATTATTAAATTTGTGTTACATTATTGTGGAGCATAAAATGATATGGAATTAACTAGAAGTATTTAGATTTAAGTTTCAATTACATATACACTGTAATTAAATAGTATTTTTAAAAAAGTATTTAATTTCTTCAAGTGAAAAGCATGTATCATTTGAATAAATATTTAATCTATTATGCATGCATCAACTACGAGTTATAGTAATATGTCATGTAATCTATACCTTGTACATATTGATATAATTGATGGGTGCAATATTTTGATAAAAATGAATACTTAGATAAGATAAAAAATCAACTGTTTAATCAATGCAATGAAAGCAAGAATAGGTATATCAATTGAATAGTTTCATGTTTGTTTTCTCAAAAAACATGTTACCTTCTTTATTTTTTGCTTGTAATATTTGTTGCTCTAATTTACATAAATATTTGTAACAAGTCAATTTTATTGTAAGGATATATTGCTGTATTTAAAAAAAATATATTTTAGAAAATATGTAAGCCATATGTCAGGCATATATTTATTTATAGGAACAGACAGTTTTTCTTACAGAGTAATATCAATATGCGATGTTGCACTTATATGTAATTATTTAAAAAATAAATTTATTTTCACTTAATATAATATATCAAAATATAATGAGTATCCTTTCTGAGTTATTCACAATTATAGGACCACTCATCTTTACTTAATTAAAGAAGTTAAAGATCAATTTCAAACTCTCGCTAAAATTAGGAGAATGCTAAAATATATAACAGTTTAGCAGTTATCATTACACCGAATGTTTCTTATTGCAGATTATAATTACCAATTCACAGCATCCCATGTTGCACTTGCTCATGTTTGCTCACCTTCGCAAAGATACTTAAGACTGTCTGTCCTTATGAGTATCTTTTGAAGTACAGTGGAAGTAGTAATCTGTAAATTTTACTCAAAGGAGGATGCCAGTAACTAAACGTATTCCATGCCCTTCGCGGTAAGTAAGTGGTTTACGTATTACATACTCTAGGACAAGAATAAAAATCAGAGATCTACAAATAGGTGACTTTAACATTCTTTCCTTATGTTAACTTTCAAACCTTTCTTTTTCTGGTTCAATTATATAATCATTCTTAGGAAGGTTTCTTCTTTATAATAATCAATATGAAAGTAGCAAGTATATTTCTACACAATTGAAGTATATACTGTAATGTACTTAAAAAAAGAAAAAAAAGAACAAATTGGTAACTACTCTGTAATATTTAGTACTTTAATACATAATAAATCTATCCTCTGAATTGCAATGATTATGTTACTGACATCCACCTTTAAATCACTTGTAATATAATATTATTTGTGTATCTATGTTTTATAATTTGTAAAAAAATAATCAAATACAAACAAAACCAGATACTTCCACCATATAAAAATATTCATTAGGTTTAAGAATATAAAAAATTATTCAACATATAAAGAGATATGGGTATTGTGTCATATACATATGTAATTTGACAAGAAATAAACAAGGCAAAGGTGGCAGAAATAATATTTATCTTATTCCTTCTCTAAATATTTTCAGTCTTTTGTAACAAAATCATTATATACAGTATGATACTATGGATGAACTATAATAACAAAATTCAGTCACTCTTTTTGCCACTAATTATTCAATTGTACTCTTTCAGATCTGACGGTGGTAGCAGTGAAAGTCCATTACTTGTGGAAGAAGGAGAAACAGTTGGTGCACCTCACAGTCCACGCAGCAAACATAATCACAGTCATTCACATGCTAATCCCCATAGGTCCCATAGCTACCGCCATGAAAAACCAAAACAGCTAGTAAAATATGGAGAGCTAGTTATTCTTGGGTAGAAAATCAATTTTTTTCTACTATATCATTTAATAGAAATATCCATCAACAAAATTATAAATTAAATTATTTTTTCAGATACAATGGATTCCTCCCACCAGGAGACAGAGGAAGGAGAAGGAGTAAGTTTGTTCTATTTAAGAGGCCTGTACCAAATGGCGTGATAGTGGAATATACCGAGGATGAAGGAACTGATATGTTTCAGGTAACTTAAACATTATTTAACTTGCTCATATTATCTCTATAATAATTGTATTAATTTATTCATAAATAATACAGGTTGGACGTTCTTCCGAATCTCCTATTGACTTCGTCGTTATGGACACATGTGCAGGCGGTAGTGACGGTTCTAACGAAGGACGTGTTGCTCAGAGCACAATTAGCAGGTTTGCCTGTCGGATTCTAGCTGACCGGTCAGATCCTAGAATCGCAAGAATATACGCGGCAGGTTTTGATAGTTCGAGAAATATCTTCTTAGGGGTAAGACAGTTCATAAAAATTTTTGATTTCTCTCTATTACTGTTTAATAATAGAACGGATTGTTTTAGGAAAAAGCAACCAAGTGGCAAGAAAATCGTGAAATCGATGGACTTACGACAAATGGCGTTTTAATAATGCATCCACGAGGTCAATTCTGCGGCGGTGAGGCACAGTGTGGCTTCTGGAGGGAAGTCAGCGTGGGTGGTGGAGTTTTCTCGCTAAGGGAAAGTCGAAGTGCCCAACAAAAAGGAAACGTAGTAGAGGATGAAAATAATATTTTGCAAGATGGCACTCTGATTGACCTTTGTGGTGCTACGTTACTTTGGAGATCAGCCGAAGGCCTAGCAAAATCGCCGGTAAATATGAGATTTGTAACTTTTCGATCTTCCTTAAAAAGTTGAAAGTCATTGTTTGTGTTTTCATAGACGAAACATGATTTAGAAGAACTAGTTGATGCGATAAACGCCGGAAGACCACAGTGCCCAGTCGGTTTAAATACGTTAGTCATACCACGTAAAGCCGCTGCCGATTCTACACAACAGCAGCCGTACGTGTATTTGAAATGTGGACATGTACAAGGGCTCCATGATTGGGGTCAGGAAAAAGATAAAGCTACGAGAAGATGTCCAATGTGTCTAGTAGCTGGTTCAGTAGTTAAACTTTCTATGGGAATAGAGCCTGCATTTTACGTTGATTGTGGCCCACCTACTTATGCTTTTAGGCCTTGTGGACATATGGCTACAGAAAAAACTGTTAAGTTAGTATCAAGTATATTGCAATTATTTATACTTGTATTAAAAGGTATTTATGAGATCGGTATTTTCGGGTTGCAGATATTGGGAAAAAGTTGCAATTCCACATGGTACAAATGGTTACATTGCAATTTGTCCATTCTGCGCAGTCCCTCTCGAAGGAACACCAGGATACGTAAAATTGATTTTCCAAGATAATGTAGATTGAGGTTCGTTTATTATAAGGTCGTGAGTATGTGTAGAAATCATTAACTTCTTATAAAATGCAAGGACTATTAAAAATTAATAAAATGTAAATAATCTTAATACGAATATATAAACAAAGTTCTGTCTTCTTCCCTTGAATATAAATTTAAGTAAAACTTTTGTATGTACAAATAGCTCTGCAATAATTATTATGTACATGGCTCTTGAAATAAATATCCCTTCTTAAACAGTATTACTTATATATATATATATTTTTTTTTACATATAAATTATTTTTATCATTTATCTACTGTTTTATAAAAAGAATTTTTGTTTTTATGCGATTTTAATTTTTTAATTAAAAGTAAGGTTGTGAGAAAATGCATGGTTACAGTGTTTGAAACAATAATTATTTAAACGTATATATTTTCGAACATACCTTCATTTGTTTTATGGTCATATAATAATCACATAAGATCAATGTGTAATCATATTATAAATATGTAACATCTCCAAATATTATGGAGTTACATCTGAACTATTCTTATGTACACGAGATAATAGTAACTAGATTTAAAAGTATAATCAGTATATCAAGATCAAGTAGAATAAGTGTATCAGTATATTAACATCTAATAAATTCAATCCTGTTTCTTTACATCCACAGGAGAGAATATATGCCTAGTTTTACACAAAGATATTTCGAAATATATTGGTGTTTTCGACAAGGTGTGACGGACAAATATACAAATTTGTTCTTTTTCTTTTAATATTCAACAACAAAAATCTCTATTTGAAAAAATGATGTTCAGCGAGCACGATTCTTTGTGTTTCCCTTTTTCTTCTGCTTTACATGTTTAATGTGCACAAATAAGCACGTGAGAATTTCATACGAAGAAAAAATGATTGAGCATAATTAGAAATGATAATTAATTTTATCTTTTTCGATCGTTGGACCCACTACGACGTGAACGGGATCGACGACTTCGGCTACTACTGCGCGAACGTTTCGATCTGAAACAAAAAATCATACAGAAAAAAATCACCTATGATACTATGTGACTCTAATCATACTTGATCTGTCTACAGATTACAATATTGCACCGTTTCGAATATATGCAATAACATTACACTATGCAGACTTTTTACACTACTTTTTTCTCTCAATCAACTGGAACCAACCTTTTTCCACGACTGCGGCTTCGAGAACGCGACTTTCTTCTGTCCCTGTCTCTGCGCTCGCGATCTCGATCCCTTTCGCGATCACGGTCGCGATCGCGATCGCGTTCACGATCACGGTCCCGATCGCGTTCACGGTCACGATCACGATCTTTGTCTCTGTAACCTAATCCTCCGCGTCTACCATCGCGATCTCTGTCGCGATCGTCTCGATCTCTGTCTCTGCGTCTATCCAGCAACGACTCTCGTTTCTCTTTACGTCTCTCCTCAACGGTTTTTTGTAATTCTGCCAACTTCTCGCGTATCTTGATGAATCCAAGATGCAACTTCCCGCCGAAATGATCAGCCAATCGACGATCGTTATCGTGAATGCCAAGATACGCGCTGCAAACCTCGCAGACTCGAAGTTTTTGCTGTTGGTAACTAGACGCTGGCATACTGTTACGATATTCCTGTTCAGCTTCATTCTTCTTCTTTCTTAATTCGTCTATCTCACCCATAAGCTTCATGGACTCCTCCACGAAGCCCTCTTCGCCAAGTTGCTCGGCTTTCGCTAATTTTTTACCAATCTCCTCGGCGAGAACATGAACATTGTTTGCCTTAGCCGCCACCTCGGCGCTGAGCTCTTCTTGCGTCTCCGCAAGTCGTTGCTTCGCCTGTTCTGTACGGCGGTCGCAGTCGGCGATAAAATTTTGTAAATGTTCCATAGCCTTCAAATATAAGAAAATTTTTTATAAATTATAAAATAAATTACAAAATAAAAATTAAGAATTAAATAACAAATCATATACTCACATCAATATCGTAAAAATGGTCCTTCTTCTTTTGCGCAGCCTCATAGTCAGCCCGTAAGGCCAAGTCGTGAATCTGGGGGCATTCTCCCAGGTCCATGCGCTGCGATTCACAAATCATCCAATATTAGCTCAATATATGATCCCTCCCGACTTGTTTTCTTTTGTAATCTTATTTAACGAGAACAAGGTTTCTCAACTGGCTGTTCCGTAAACAGGAAACTAAACTGGTAAATACGATAATCAAATAAATAATTTAAGACTAATGAACGCAATAACGACAGAAGTTAGAAAACCCTAACTGTCCAGAAATATATACGGTCTAAAGATGCTTTCATTATTATAACTTTATTTTTCAACACTTTTCTGGTACAGATACACGTGCTTACAAGGTAATTATATATACATGTATATATGTACATTCAATAAATAAATATATGTGGACGTACTTATTTCTCCGTATATATATGCACGTATATTAAAAATGCAGATAAATATTTTGTTTTGTTCACTTACAGAGTGGCAACACCTCTCCGCCTGACACGACAATGCGATGGTAATGAAGCTACAATCAGCACACACCTTAAGTTCATATGTTCAATGGTCTATGAAACAACTTACAGCCTAATAGGTTTTATTATACTATTTACGGATAGGGCACGAGTTGCCTTATGTGAATTCAATTCTAGACGATTTAGAAAACGAGTTCAATACGTACATCCAATGGCTGAAGAGAAATTTTTCTAACAGAACTGGCGCGCTGTACAAGTTCCCCTTAAATAAATGTCTCTCTCACTGCTTCATGCCACTTCTGACTCTTTTTTTGTTTCACGGATATTTTATTGTATTGCAAATTGCCAAAATAAAATAATTAATACGCGGTTTCCCTTTCGATTTTAAAGATTTTCACTTTCATTTTCAAATAAAACGGAGATTTAAAATTAATTCTAATGAATGCATGTAATTTAGTACGCAACGACCGAAAGGAATGCTAGTACACGTTAAGGAAGTACGCATCGGAATTACTTTCGACAATCGTTCGACTCTACACACGGTCCTCCCTAATGGTACACACATTCGAAATGAAAGAATGAAAGAAGAACTAGAATATGTCGTATCTGGTCTCGAATGTCACAAAACTAATATACAGTGAAATCTCGATCGAACATTTCTCTAATCGATAAATCGATAGGTCACATAATATCGAAAAGTTCAATTGAAATGGCGCATTTTCATGAAATAACCAATCGAAGTTTCATTGCATATCAATTCATTAAAACAAACGAGTTCAGGATCGTCAAGAAAATATTAAAAATTTCGAGACTCAATCTCGTAAGAAATTTAATTTTCTTGGCAATTCGCATGGTCTTTTTTTTACTTACAGATCACTGCTTCATTTCCTGTACCCATTTTATCTCCGAGGATGAATACGATTTTCACACATACTTTCAAAGTAAACTTGATTTCTACCTGCCGTAAACGGCATTATTAGTAAGAAGCGACAATTAAGACATCGTCTCATGAATCAGCAATGGCGCTACTCACCAACTTTTACACAGGCCATTTCGGGGTCTCGGAATTAATATTCGACACTCAGCCTCGCCACCGTTGACCGGTAGAGGGGCTGAGGTAACCGCCCGCCTTTATATATATTATTAATCAAATTAATATACCTAGTACTTGAATTATGTTAAGAGATAATCAAATTGTAGAATTGTAATACGTACGTCCTCTTCGCTTTTCAGTACTTACAGTAACGCGCATGTGAGAGCGACAAGTACAACACGACATATGAGCGGACAATACTCGCAACAATATTGTACAATGGTTCTGATTGGAATTGCTTTTTCCAGAGACTCTGGAAATAGAACTGTAGGTACATTGACATTAGTGAACTTGTATATTCGTCATTCTCGCGAGTATTTGCCAGAAGTATATTTCGTTTAAAAAAATTTCTTTTATTGTCAAATTAATCTTTGAACACTTCGTTTTATTTATTTACGTTTTTCTTTCTCTTTTCCTATAATTTTAAATAGCTGTTTTCAATTCTACCGCAGTAAAACCTGAGCGTAAGAGATATACAGAAGGGTGCTTGCTAACTGCAATAAGAGACGCCCCCCTATGCACCGAATGCTAGGTTGCAAGTCTCTTTTAACGACTCGATTTCACTCTTTCGTTTTACTCTTTCGAAATGCTGAACATATTTTACTATTTTCGAACGATGTGGTTTCTTAAACGTAAAAAACAATTAAAGTATATTTCTTTCTATATTTTGCTTTTGATTAAATCACCAAATGAAGAAAGAGGCAAATAAGAATTAGTGAGAAATTTATCAGTTCCCTACTACGTGGTACAATAAACTTTATACGTACACTCTATACGTTGCATATTTTATGCAAAAATCAATCTGAATTTAAGTGTCTGTATTGAAATCGACAAATTAGATAGCGGAAACATTTCTGGTCCCCGTATAAAAAAAGACGACATTATGCGTAGCAATATGCCAACCACTAAAAAATGTACTCAAAGTTGCTTGAAGGTAAATATAATTGTAACGCGAGCTAAAAATGCAGTACTCATTAAATTACATATTTACTGCACTTTTTTCATGGAAATTTGCTCGAAGATTTAGCTACACAGAAAAGATTCAAAATGTCGCCTTACTGCAAGTAGTTGGCTATGGTTAAAGTAATCGAACAAAAAAAATTCAATCCTTTTTAATTTTTTTAACAAACACCCTTGGACCAATTCGCACAAGATGACAAAGAAATGCGCGAAGCAATACTAAATGTGAGCGGTATTACGCTATCGTATGAAAATCATGTTCTTAGTGTAATCATAGAACATTTGCGTCTATTTCAACCTTATGGTTATGTCGTTCACGATTTCCTGTACTTATCATTGTCCCGCGATCGTAAGTGGCCATTATCGTAAGAGTAGCTTCTGTTTCGATACATTTCAGAGTACCACAAAGAAAAGAAATGGGATAAATTTGAAAATTATTAACATACTTTTGATGACATTTCAATCACATAAATTATTTAATTTGTATGTGTTCATTTTACTTATTTTAAAATTATAC